AGAAGAAAGACCTGTACTCTGGTTTTCTTGGGTTCTGCTTTTTTTAAAAAATAGTTTATTTATTTTTTTTTATGTGTATGAGTGTATTCCCTGCATGTATGTGCGTCGTGCACCTGTGTCATACAATGCCGATCATAGCTGCCGTGTGGGTGCTGGGAATTGAACCTGGTTCCTCTGCAAGAGCAGTCAGTGCTCTTAACTGCTGAGCCATCTCTCCAGCCCCACTGGGGGGTTATTTGTTTGTTGAGACAGAATCTTCTATAGTCCAGGCTAGCCTCAAACTACTTGTATAGCTGAGCATGACCTTGAATTCATGATCTTCCAGCCTCTATCTCCCAAGTACTGGGATTACAGGTGAATGCCATCATGCCTTGCCCCCACCATATACATACCCCTGTACCCTTTGACCTGAAACTCTCCTCTCCACTTTTGACCAAGATGGAGTGACAAGGACTGATTTGACCTTTCTGCTTAAAGGAAGCAAAGAGCAAGGCCAAGTGTTCAAAGCTTTGGATGCAACCCCATATAACACAGAATAGTGACCCCAGAGAGACAGGGAGTAACCGAGGAATGTCCACTCTACCTGACTGCATGGGCACAATTTTCAAGTTGTAGTACGGGGAAGGAAACTGAGGCAGAGTTATCAGACTCCGTGTGATAAAGAGGGGCTGGAGAGATAGCTCAGCAGTTAAGAGCACTGATTGCTCTTGCAGATGACCTGGGTTTGATTCCCAGCACCCACATGGCAGCTAACAACCATCTGTAACTCCAGTTCTAGGGGATCTGATGTCCTCTTCTGACCTCCAGGGGCATTACATGAAATGGGTGCACTTAACTACATGTAGGAAATATACTTATACACATAAAATAAAAATAATTTTTTTAAAGTTAAAAAGAGGAAGAAACAGAGTTGAGCATCCAGAGAAACCAAGGCAGCTAGAATTTGTAGGATAGAGTACCAGCAACAAAGAGCTAAACATAGAGACCCCATGATCTGGTAGAAGGTCCTCAATGCTTCAGTTAAGGATGGATGGGAACAGGAGTAGGAGGAAACAGTCTTGGAAAGGAACGATCCAATAAGATCACAAGGAACTACCCTCAGGGACCACATGGGGTGGAACTACTTTGTACCTAGCTCAGTCTGAATGGGAAAATAAGGCCAGGCACATGGGAAATAGAGAAAAAGTAAATGTAGAACCCAATGCCAAAGCAAGGTATGGAAGACCTCTGGATTGTAGGAGGTGGGGAGGATTCCTATAGGAAGGGGCTCTGGCACTGGCTCTGCCCAGATAATAGATGGTTCCTAGCTGCCCAAAGCTGTCTCCAAGGTTGTTGTCCCACCTCACCCCCTAGTCCCTACTCTTGGCCTCAGGTATCATCCAATTTGTGAGGAACTTTCTAGAACCAGGTTCATGATAGCCTTGCAGTCCCAGTTCCTCCCTGCATAGCTTCTGGAACAACTGAGTGTCCCAGCATGAAAGCTTTAAGGGTACCTGCCCAAACTAAAGCATCAAGGGGCTTCACACTGTCCTTGGCCTGTCTTCAGTGATACTGTCCCTAGTGGGTCCTCAGCTGCACTGAGATGCTGCCAGAGACTCTCTGAATACAACAGTCCAGCAGCTTCGTAACAGCAGTAAGGAGCTCAGGACAAGCTGGCTCAGGCCTAGGGAGCCTGAACAAGTGTTTTAAGTCACTCAGGTCCCATTTCTCTTACCCATGGCCTAGTCCTCTCCTGCAGCCCAAGAATGGCCTTTAGACCCAGATTTATCCATCATAGGTCACCTGGAGATGAGCTGTGTGGACCAGGAGGCTAAGGCCTGCTCCCACCCTGCTCTGCCCAGCTTCCTTAGGAGCCTGGGAAAGAAGTGCCTCCCCAAATCCTCTAACCATACTCTAACCATAAAGGCCAGCCCATCCCTGAACAGAAGGCATCCCTGAACAGAAGGGGCCACCCAAAACCAGAAACCTCAGGCTCTTGGGCCTGAGAAGAGGGAGGGGTCAGCAGGTACAGCTGTGCCTGTACTCAGGGAAATCCTAAATCCTGCCTTGACCTTATTGCCAAGGTCTGGCAGGTTCAGGTAAACAGTGTACCTCCAGAATGGATGGAATAATGATGCCCTTCTCAATAACTGACAAATGAGAAAAGGGGTAAGGTGCCAGTACTTGCTAAGTCTCATCCTAGGATGAGGCTTCATATAACGCAAATATATCCAGGTAATGACGAGGGTGGATCCAGGTACCACCTTTCCCTACCTCCCTTTGGTCCTGGGCACTCAGACCAGAGTTTGCTCAGGGTTTCAGTGTCTGCAATGTACAAAGCCACAAAGCCAGGGGCAAGAACACTGATCCCACCCAGTACCCGCTGCCTGGACCAGGTATGGCCAGGAAGCTGGGGCAGGGTGAGGCCCCAAAGGTAGAAGCAGCCTCCCTCCCTGGCTTCTCCAAACCCCTTCGTGGACCCAGAGCTGTAAGGAGGCTTATCTCCTCCCACTCCATCCCTGTCTGGATGAGACCTGGAAAAAGGATTCCAGGCTACTTTTCTTCCACTGGTCAAGACAGGAAGAAGGTAATTGAATCAGCACTTCTCACCCCATCTGGAATATTCCAACATAGAAAACCCACAGAGCAGCTGAGGAAGCAATTTAGGGACTTTAATTAAAGGCTGATGACTCCCCCAGGAGATCCACCCCCACATAGCCTGTAGGATCCACCACATCTGCCCACAGTATGTTCTGAGACACAGCTGAGCACCTCGCACCAGGCGTTGGTCCTTAGGCTGAATTTCCACTGAGCGGGTATGAGCAAAACACTAGCGTAGCTTTCTCCTGGCTGCATCTAGAGACTGCCCTTAGAGTCCTGGGCCCCGGCAAACTGATGCTCACTCACAGCACTGTGCCCAAGAGAGTTCCATGAAAAGTACTCACCTCAGTGGGCTCAGACTAGGAGCTCTAAACACAGGGAGGGAAGCAGGACACCAGAGCAATGGTACAGCTGCCCAACTTATGGTTGTTCCTGCCTCCATCTGCTCCAATTGCCTTTATCTGACTCATCTGCATAGAAAGGCATATAGGCATATAGGGAACACTATATACAAAACCTGTGAGGCTACAAAGAGCAGGGCAGGGAGTTGGAATGGAGCTGGTAGGGGCCAGAGTGACAGGAGCTTGGAGCTGAGAGGAGGAGGCAGAATGGGAGGGGTGAGCTTTAGAGGGCCTTAACAGCTGCAAGCAAGCGTCTGGTCTTCATCCTAGAAGCAATGGGGGTGGGGCTAGGGATGGGAGCCCTTTAAAATAATAGGATCTCCTGAAGACACCCCTCAAGTAGAGGACAACAGGAGGACTGGGTGGCAGTGTGGGTCCTGGGACTGTCGACATAAGGATATGTCCAGGGAGAATACACACACACACACACACATACACACACACACACACACACACACACA